GGTTTAGGGTTCCGTTCAGGGATACCATCAGGGTTGGACAAGGGTCTTGCGGGGAGCTTGATGATTTAGAAAAGGGTGTTGGGGTAGATTCTAGTGTAATCGTGAGGGAGCTTGATGATTAGAAATGGGTTTCGGGATAGATTCTAGGATAAACTCGAGGCTGAAACGTGCATAGCATGCGGACTTCGGATTTAGGCTTTGGGCTGAAGGGTCAAACAAACCTCGGAGTTCGTCTACCCCGAGGGCCATTCGATTCCTTGGAGAGCCGAGGATCATACAAATCTTGATCGCAGAAGTTCTCGGCTACAATGATCCTTGGCCTGGTTTGATCTCAAGCATTCATGATGCTGCGCTGGTCTCCTAGTCTGCAAATGTGCCACGGTACAGCTCCTCTAAACCCCCATGAGCTGCCTACTATAGGGCCTATAGGGGCCTTACGAATTACCTACATTATATTGGGGGGGGGTTCCTCATGATGACTTTAGTGTAATATACCCCCCAAAACCCTATTCTAAATATAAGGTTCCCTGAACGCCGAACCCGAAGTTTCTGTGGTCATAGAGACACCTCTGCTCCACTCCCAGGCCATACTGTTGATAATATACATCCTGCGTTACATTAAGGACCCTAAAGTATGGGAATTATGGTATATCCCTTGTTGCAGGTGATGCAGATTTTTATCATCAACTGTATTGACGGATTCTTGCCCCAAAGCCGCTGAAGACGGTGGAACTGCTTGAAGCCGAGCTTCTCATGCTCCGCCATCCTCACATGTGTGGGTAGGGGCCTGCAGAGTTTGGCTACACTAAGCCCTAAATCCTAACCCTAAACCCTTAAACCCCTAAACCCCTAAACGCCTAAGCCCTGGGTGCAGAGTTTGGCTACACGAAGCCCTAAACCCTAAACTTTCACTCACATATCTTCCTAAGGGGCTGGGTAGGTAACCTTTAACCTTTTGGGGCTCATATAAACCCTAAACCCTAAACCCTTAAACCCTAAACCCTTAAACCCTAAACCCCTAAACCCTAAACCCCAAACCCTTTATGATTCAAAAGGTTAACCGTTTTTTGGGCTAAGGTACTGGGCCCCTAGGATTCCTCAGGGGTCCTAGACACACTTCCTGACAAAGCCGTCTCCCTTCATAAGAAAGGACTGGGGGGGTTTAGGGTTTAGGGTTTAGGGGGGTCAGCATCCCGGGGTCGACATGAAACACATCAAATTTGAACCCTAAAACCTCAAAGCACCACATTTTAGGGTTCAGGGTTTATATAGGGTTTGGGGTTTATATTCAAAAAACCCCAGCCGAAGATGCGGGCCGACGCTCCCAACAACCCTACTTAAAGGATCGATGGGCCTAGTAGGGTTGTGGGCAAGGTACCTGCTGATGCAGACTCTTGTAGGCCTGAGACTTACAGGTACTTGCAAGCCTACTTCCCTAACCCCTAAACCCACAACCCCCTAAACCCTGAAACCCCGCTGGCTGAATCCACCCTAAACCCTAAAGTGTAAAACCCTTAAGCCCCTAAACCCTAAAACCCCGGTGAATCCTCTGTCTCTCCCGTCCAGGTCGAAGTAGAGGTACAAGCAACAGGCGTGGGGGGAGGGGGCGGTAGGGTTTCGTGTTTAGGGGTTTAGGGTTTAGGGGCTTAGGACTTTACGGGTGCAGGACTTGCCCGGGGCTTAGGGTTTTACGGCTTTAGGGTTTTTAGGGTTTGGGGTTTATAGGGGTGTTGTTTCAGAGTCTGATATGATCTAACGATCCTCTCTGCTAGTGTTTCTTCTTGAGCCTCCAGCTTGCGAGGCGATGAAGTTTGGGACCCCTCTCAAGATTTCAGCCCTGAAGGTTCTCCAGCGCTGGAGCCGAGCCCTACTAGACCCCAAGCCCCAAACCCTAGATAAACCCTAAACCCAGTTCAATTGATTCTGGATGACTCACAGAAGAATGAGACGCAGGAGAGAGAGGGAGAGAGAGAGAGAGTGAGGAAAAGTGGTGGTGAACTTGGGATGTGCTGCTGGATGACGTTTGAGCCTACGTAAAGTAACCCGGAGGCCTGCCCAACACGGGCTTTGGAGCGTAAGCGACAGAAAAGGCCCTTAACAAAAACCAAAAACTTTTTCAACTCACCCTAAACCCTAAACCCCCTAGGCTCCCCCAACTCCCAAACCATCACTCCCCAGCCCCTGAGCCCCAAAACCTCTAAAGTCCTAGGGTTTAGGGTTTATGGTTTAGGGCTTCGCCCTAAAACAACAAGCCCTGAAGTCCTAAAAGCCCTGGTAACCTGCAACCCCATAGTCCTAAATACTTTTATACAACCCCTAGTACCCCTTTCAGGTTCCCCTTATTCCAAAATTGTGCTGTGCATTTGGGGTTTAGGGTTCCGGAGTCTACAGAGCCCTTGTCGAAGCCGCATCGAACCCTTTACAGAAGCCTCACAAAACATCAAATACCCTAAACGAACCCAGGAGTCCCTGAACCCTAAGTTACTGAGACCTTAAAACTTTGATCCTAAACCTTAGGACCCTAAACCCTGAACTCTAGAAACTCTAAACCCTAAACCCGAGACCCTAAACCCTAAACCCCCGCCCCTAACGAAGCTGCAGGTCAGGGTGCCGCGATCATGCTCTACAAGATGGCCGGCTGCGAACGGCCGGAAGAGTTTACAGGTGTCTCGATCACGACGAGTGCGGGTTCAGGGTAAAGGGCTGTGGGTTTAGGCTTTAGGGTTCAGGGTTTAGGGTTTAGGGTTTAGGGGGCTGTGTCTTGAACAGGATTTCCGGTATAAATTTACAAAGCATCGGGCCAAGGGACCAGCCCCAAACCCTAGAGAAGCTTCAATGCCGAGGTTGCTGGTTTCGATTTCGGGCCCGTAAGCGGGTCCTAAGTGGCCGCTGCCGACACACGATATGTCATGTTATTCCAAGGGTCCATGCGCCCAAATAGTACATACTTTGGCCCCAAAGTACCTATATAAGGACTACTTTAAGGCCTAAAGTATATACTTTCGGGTACGGACCCTTAGGGTTACACTACGATATACTAGACATTTCAAGTTACGTAGCACTACATAGGTTTTAGGCTTTAGGTTTCGTTGTCGTATGTCGCAGTTTCTTGTGTTTGTCGTTTTTCTTATGTCATGCCGATGGCACTGACTTGCAGTAATTGCTTGTGCCTTGTTATGTCGCGCTGCATTGCACTGTAGTTTAGTATACCAGTTTCTGTTATATGATATGATATACGGTGCCTACAGAACTTGGCAAGGGGGCCATACAATTGTCATGAACGAGTTGTGCTGGGTGCATGGTCCATATCCTTGCACTGTAGCATCCGTTTGTGCGATAGACCAAGGCAAAACATAGCAACACGAACAAAACAGCAACGCCGCGCATGTTGACAGCAAAACATACGAGCAAGCAAAACCTCACGAACATGTTGCAAGGAACTCACAGCTTGCCCTGGGTTGTGGAAGTGCTGAGGCTTTCCAGTGTTTAGGATCATGCTGTTTCTGTTGGCGGAAGGCAGATACTAAAATAGCTCATTGGGCATGCAAGCGAGAGAGCGAGACAGTGCGCGAGAGAGAGGGTAGAGATAGAGAGAGAGAGAGAGCGAGTCAGTCAGAAAGAATCAGAGAGAAAGAAAGACAGAAGTGAGACATCACTACAAATGGAGAGAGAGAGAGAGAGAGAGAGAGAGAGAGAGGGGGACACACAACAGGGGAGAACGCACGACTGAGGAAAATAGAGCAGGATAAGAAGGAGAGGGAGAAATAGAGAGGTGAGACAAAGACCAGAAACTATGGCGTGCCAAGAAAGACGACAGAGAGAGAGAAACATGCAGATATAGACAGCAAAACAGCGAGGGACACAGCAAAGACGAGCAAGCGGCAGCGAGAGGCAGAAAGAGAGGAAGAGAGAGCCGGAGAGCTTTGTGACAGCTTCTCTACACCACCCTGTAATGTTTTGGGGTTTAGGATTGGTTCAGAGCTTCGGGTTTACAATTTAGGTGTCGTGCGCAAGCAGTTTAGAGAAGGGGTCCTTGGAGGTGTTTGTTAGGTTGGGAGTCCATCCTGCCAACTAGTAATGCGCGGTTAGGGCTTTAGGGTAATACTCGTCCATTTTGGGCTTGCCCTCGTAATTAACTATAGTATGACATACCCACAAAGGACTGTTCTAATTCTTAAGGCCACTATGGTAGGTTTTTTGTATACCCAGCATGATGTGCATTGCTTACTGTAAGTGCTCAGGGGACTTAGTAAGTACAGTTATAACAGGGTTTAACAGTCACCTAAGCGGGGATCTGTTAATGATAACTTTACCTCTAACCTTACTAAACCCTCAACCCTAAACCCTTAAGGACCCTAAACCCTTAAGGACCCTAAACTTACAAAGTCCATTGGGCCTTGGAGTGGCTTGAGATCTTGCGCTGTGATCTGCAGGCTGTAACGGCGGAACCACCCGGAGTCACCTGATGTTCGCTGCAGTGATCCTTGCACCGTTTCGGGTTTAGGTTTTGGGGTTTTGGGGGTTTAGGGTTTAGGTTTGGATCCCTCAGCATGTCCAAGAATTGCAAGTGTAGGGTCGTCCCTAGGTTCCCTGGCCTTTTGTTGCCTTTTGTTGGATGAACCCTAGAAGGGGAAGGGGCGGTAACCACAAAGGTACCGTTTACGATGCTTTGGGGTTCGTAAACCATAAGCTTCAAAACTTAGGAGAACCCTTCATCCCGGGAAAACGATTGTCCTTAATTTAAGCAGTCATTCTCTTCAGGGACCTAAAATTTAGATCGGAATAATTGGTTAATGGCTTCCTATAGCAGCTACATAACTATGACATACCACAACCCCCAAGCATCATTGAAATTACCGATGAGTTGGTGGGGGGTGTGAATACGAAGTTATGCTATAACCTAGAATTCCTGTTGCTTGTTATAGTAGAATATGCCCCGCAAAGCATTGAACCCTATATGACGGAGGTCCTCGTACGTTGAGCGCTACAACTTCGGCAGGATGGCCCCTCAAATTGTCGGGAATGGCATCGGTTACGAAGCCATTAGCAGCCTTCATGTCGACCAAGCTGTTGCAGAAGCTGCACTCCGAGATTCAGGCACAACTGTAGGGCTTAGAGCTAAGCTGTGAGCCCCTCAACCTTGAAACCTGAACCTGCGAAGCTACAACCCCAATGAAAGCCATCAGGCTTACCGCTCGCATTCTACCAGAGCTGGAATGCTTCCTGGTTCGATCCTTCGGTGTATTTTGACAACTACACCGAAATACCGACCTCTTCCCTCGCAAGGTGCAACGAAACTTGGCTCGGTGATGCGAACTTCATGGCGGACTACGTGACAGTTAGTGGAGATCATGAAGGTCTTCATCCAGATGGTACGGCCGTGTGCCCTGATGGTTTCTGGTTCTTGGCCCCGAGCTGCAGGGCAAATCCATCTCGATGCGTTCCCTCAATTGCTTCGGTTACACCACGAGGACGAGACATCCAGCAGATGCTTCAAAAAAGTGCAGCTTTTGACATGCCACTTGCTATCTCAAGGCCGATAGATGAGAGTGCTCGACTTGCACTTCCGCACAACTTCAGGGTGGCATTTTGGAATCTAGCACCTGGGCTGAACTTCCTGCCCATGCGGATGGTTGCTGTCCAGTTTCCACCACAAGATAATGTGGCATGGGCCCAAGGAGACCTAAGAACTATGTTTGCAGGATCACTCAGCGAAAAGTTGGTTTCTCGAGATTTGAGCGTTCTTGCACCGCCAGTGGTGGAGTTGCTCACCAACTTTGAAGTCTCAAACGCAGTCACAGACCAGCTCCTCTTCGACCTTGTCGACTCTAACCAGTCTATGTGTCAGTGGCTGCTCAGCAACCGTGCCATTTGGTCATCGTGGATTCCCGATGAGACTCAGTGCAGCCCCGGATTCGGTCTTCACTATATTTCTGGAGGTGGGCTTTTGCTTTTTGAGCTCGGGTGCGAGGGTCTGTCTCAACGTTGAAGTTGAAGTCTCGGGTTTGAAGGTTCAGGGGCTTGCAGCCAGGGCGTCCGGGGCTCGTAAGCTGAATTTGGGAGCCACCGCTAGAAGCAGTCCTAAACCCTAAACCCCTACTTGGAGGTTCATGGGTAGTTATAAGTAGGGCTCTAAGTAGGGTAACTGTAGTTACAACCTCTATTAGTAGACTTACAACTCCACGTAGAACTACCCATGAGCCTCCAAGTAGACCCTAGGTCGGAAGCCCTATAGATCCTAAACCCTAGCAGGCCAAGGAGCTCTTGAACTATCAAGCACTCATTGACCAAACCTGCTGCTTGAAGCTCCAGGGTTTAGGGTTTAGGGCCTAGGGTTTAGGGGTTTAGGGTTTGGGGATAGGTTTTAGGGTTTAGGGTTTTTGAGGGACGAAGGCCAGCCCCGGAAAAAGAGGAGGCCAGTCAGCACAACTGCGAGCGCGAATACCATGGTCAGAACTCCTCATGAAGCGTAACGGGCAATGCTCCAAAACAGGCTTTCGGCAATCTCGCATGGATCAACTCGAGGTGTCGATGTTTCACAACTTGCAGTCTTGAGGTTGCCGCTTTGTTTTGCAATGTTGGACCCAGCAGGACCCGTCGAAACGAAACAAAGCCTGTCGGAGGTGAGTATGCAGCCAGCCGAGAAGATCTAGATCTCCTAGGCTGCAAAGCATGCTCTTCTGGGCGCTATTCGGAGCAGCTCCCTGAACCGGAATGAGCCGTGCAAAGTTCGGAGGTACCCTGTGGGTTGACAGCAACAAAATCACCTTATTGTCCCTACATAGTTGCACTGCAAGATACCGGAAAACTATATTCTAAGTGTCCTCCCTAATGCGCACATCAAAACACAGAAGCACCATAAAACCTTATCGCCCCCATGTTCTGATTATTGAGTCTATGGAGGTACCGATATTGCTGTAATCTTTCATTTGTCTGTCGGTCTGACATACGCGTCAGGCGCCTTGAACTTACGTTTTACTTGATCTCTTAGGTTGTTCGGGGATAGCGGTTCCGCGTCCCCTTTCTGGACTCGAAACAAGTTTACTTTCTTGAGGGCTGATAAATGGAAAATAGGGGACCTCTTGAAAGAAGTTATTCGGGGTTGAGGTAAGCCACAAACCCAGAACCCCCAAACGCAAAACCCATCGAAACACTGAGCCCGAACCCTAATCCCTAAACCCGACACCATACCCTAAACCCTAACAAAGGCTTTTCGACCAGCGCGGCTACACCCACACCTGCGATGTGTGTCCTGCTGGCAGAAGCCAGCCCTCAGGCACCGGCTGCTCTCCGAAAGCTAAATTTCAACAGCAGCTTAGGGTTTAGGGGTACGGTAATGTAGCAGTTTGAATACCTGCCAAGATGATTCCTTACAATTTCTTGATTCTACTAACTATACTATGACTATGATAAACCTCTCAAAACCCCGTTCTACTGATAAAAGGCTCTATTGTACTCCTTGCAATCTGCCAGTCCAGCCTTCCTTCTCATGATGTCCTTGTATATGTCCTTACGGTTTGTTTTTAGGTCTTAGGGTTAGGCCTTAAGGTTTTGTATATAACCCTAAACCCGGAAGGGAAGACCGTGCGGAAGCTCGAGCAAACCGAAATCCTACAGCCGATAGCCTCTAGCCGTGCACCGGAGACCTTCAAGCCACAAGTTAGAGTGTATAGCTCAATCATTATGTCCATATATATATATATATGTGTGTATATATATATACATATATGTATGTGTGTATATATATATATAGATGCATGCATGCATGCACGCACGCACGCATGCATGTATGCATGGATGCATGGATGTATAGATGTATGGATGTATGGATGGATGGATGTGTGTATGTACGTATGTATGTATGTATGTATGTATGTATGTATGTATGTATGTATTGTTGTATGTATGTATGTATGTATGTATGTATGTATGTATGTAGGTATGTATGTATGTATACTCTTTCCTTGCTTCTGTGCCGCGATGCTGATGGTTGCAACTGCTGCAGGGGGTGTTGTTGTGGATGCTCAATGGAGTCGCAAACGGTTTGTGTGCGCACTCTGCTGTTTGATCATCATTCTCCATGGCTGCGCATTCCGAAACCGGGTGTCTACACTATGCTCCATGCTATCTATCTACCACTGCCATTGTGTGAGACGGCTTCCGAGTGCAACTTTGAGCCGGAACCCAAGCTCCGAACCCAGAAAGTTCAGGGTTTAGGGTTCAGGGTTTAGGGTTTAGGGTTTAGGGCCCAGAAAGTTCATGTGGTGCACTGGGTGTCGGCGTGAGGGGTTGTGGAGGCTTTTGCGACTTCGGAAACCGAGCCCGGGGTAGAGGCGATACGGCTGATGATATAGATCCTGCATTACCCATAATAGGGAATATACCAGAACTCCCGTAGTTTAGGGTCCTTAAGGTAATGCAGGATTTATATCATCAACAGTAGTGTAAGTAAGCTGCATGCCGAAAGATCTTACGTTTTTTGTGGTACTCCCGCAGGTGCAGCCGTGTCCTGTGAGCCCTGCAGCACCGGTGAATACCAGGAGGGGCGGGATCTGAGTGCAACAGGGGATTATTCGAGTTTAGAGTTCCTGGTTCAGCGGTTCAAGCTCCAAACACCAAACCCTAAAACCCTAAACCCTGAAACCCTACACCGAAAGCCTACAACCCTAAACTGTAAAACCCTAAAGCCTACACCCCGAAGGTGTAGAGGTCTCAGGGTTTAGTTACTGTTGCTTAAGCTTGCGAAAACTTCAACGTAAATTGAATACAGAGAAAAAGGGTTTAGGGTGTAACGGTTTCAGGATTTGGGGGTTAGACTCCTGAACCCTACACCCCGAAACCCACAATCCCTAGATCCTTCAATCCTTAACGGCTGAAACCTCGAATCCTCGAATCGAAACCGCAGCTCCTAAACCCCTCAATCGTGAATCCTTGACCGTTTTCCTTCATAGAAGTTGTACAGCGCCCTTCGATAGCCCTGCGAAAGTCTTATGAAACCCGTACACAAAAAACACCTAGCAAAGGGGTTGTGCCCTTTCGGTGCCGGTAGTACAGGGGCCTTAGTGACTCGTAGTACTGATACATGTTTATAGGGGCTCCTTCTTGCATATTTCGTACAATATACCCCGAAATCCCATTCAATTTATTGGGGCCTCTACAACATTTTTGCTAGTTCTCCTACAATGGCTTAGGACTTTCAATTTTTGGAGGGGCATTTGCAGGGTTTACTTGCCCGTGTTTCGGTGTGTGTTTAAGGCTTTTGTATGCTTCTACAGACCTTTAGAGATTGTTTTTGTTTATGGTCTCGCGGCACACTTCACGGCTTACGGCTTTCAGGGTTTCGCATTTTCTAGGGTTACCGGGATTACGAACTAGGGTTGATCGTGAACATCTTGGTGTTTCTCGTAGCTTCGTGCACATAACCTCTCACGCAGGTACTTGTGCGCACAGCTGTGTCGCAATTCCCCTTTAAACCCTAGACGTCAACCGCAGTGGTTTTCTGATTTTGCAAGGAGGAACAGGGCCTTAAGCAATCATCAACCCAAGAACATCGACTGCTCTTGGCTCCTGCACATGGGGCATCTGCTCCTGCGTTCTCCCAGTAGCTACCAGAAGGGAGGTTGCAAGACAGCTTCTTGTTGAAGGTCGGAGGCCCTTTTGGAGCAGGAATGAGATGAAAGTACGACGCGAACCTTCCGGGGAAGTTATGGGGTTTAAGGCAGATAAAATGATTAGGAGGGTCGAGATGTAGGGCTTCTAGTTGTTTTGTTTCTACCGCCTCAGTCCACCCATTGAAGCCTTCCGAGCTTTAGGATGTCGCTGGGAGCCAGACTTGCAAGCGCTGTGGCATCGGCACCTACCAGGATGAGACTGGCTCGACTGGTTGCAAGAGCCTTTGATGTTGGTTTTGATTACACAACAACCTTTCATGTATACCCTAGACCCTCGACCCTGAACGCAGAACCATTATACCATAAGCCCTAGACCCTAAACCCTAAACCAGACGACCCTAAACCCTAACAGGGCATTGGGTTTGGGGGCTAGAGTTTAGCGAGCCTTTGATGCGGTGCCGATGCAGGGCTGTTCATGGGTAGTTATAGTTTAGGGTTTAGGGCATAGGGTCATGTTATAAGTGGAGTTATACGTCCCCTATTATAGGTCATAGCTATCCTACATATAACCCTACCCATAACTACCCATGAACCTCCAAGTAGTGTTTCCGGCAGAGTGTTTAGGGTTTCAGCATGTGAGATTTGGGACCATCTAAACTATTCTTCCAACTGTTGTTACTCTTCGTTGCCGCTAATATGAGTTTCCTTACCCTTTTGACTTTATTTATTATGATTATTAGTAGTTTCATTGTTTGATTATGAGTATGGTTACTATTGCCATTATGACTATGATTGCGATATACTATTGCGATTACTATTTCTACGATTGCTATTGTTAGTTATTACTCTTGTTACTGTTATTGTTTGCAGTGAAGGATTTTTTGGCCGTGGAGGCTCAGGAGCTCGTGAGTCCTTGGTCCAGGCTTTGGTGCAGGTAGTGCTGCCGGCTCGGGTGTCGCCTGCGCTTTGCGGGTTTTGGGTTTAGGGATTCGGTGGATTTGGACATCATGCCGGCGTGACTGGTGCCCTAAACCCGGAAGCCCTAAGCCCTACAGCCCCTGGCCCTAGATGTGACCCATCTCAGGAATTGCACAAGTGGTACGACGACGGTGGGCTTGGGCTCCATATCGGAGTTGGATTGCGGATGCCCCGCAGGCAATGACGAGGGTTCATTGCAGTGGGTTTGGGACTCCAAGTCTAAGAAATACAATGTACCGACTTTATCCACATGTCTCGGTCATGCCACAACTCAGGGGCAGTCCCGCCATGTGCCTCCGTATGCCGACCGAATTTTGTATCGATGCAGGATGCATCTCTCCCTGTGTGTGTATATTTCTATGTCATTGTGCAAGTATAAAGCTGTGTAAGCAAGCGATGCAGTGCATTTTTTAATAAGTGGGTGCCTAAGTAAATATGTATGTATATATGTATGGATGGATGAATGGATGAATGGATGTGAGTCGTTAAGACATTACGTAAGCAATAGTACGAAAGCAAGTAAGTGGTTAAGAAAGTAAGTAATTAATCAACTATGTCAGTACGTAAGTAAGTAAGTAAGTAAGTAAGTACGTACGTAAGTAAGTAAGTAACAAGGCAAGTAAGATAGAAAGAAAGCAAGTAAGCAACCACGTACGTGTGTAAGTACCTAAGTGTGTAGGAAAGTAAGCAGGCAAGCAGGCAATGAAGCAAGTAAGTATGTAAGTAAGTATGTAAGTATGTATGTACGTAAGTAAGATGTAAGTGAGTAAGTAAAGAAGTAAGTATGTATGTATGTATGCAATGCAAGTAAGTAAACAAATATTATGTAAGTAAGTCAGTCAGCGAGTCAGTCAGCATGTAAATAAGTATGAACGTGTATCTGCCTGACGTGCGTCAGAGTGCTTCCAGCGAGTGTATGAATCTGAGTACATGTTTGCAACATGCACCTGTGCACTGTTTGGCAAAAAAGATTTGCGCACGTATATACACAATTGACGCATACTCTGTCTGAAAAGTGCATAGTTGAATAACAGAAGATGTGATATGGCAGTTCTGTATCCTTCTAGTACTGTCGACGAGCGATGCTTGTACAGAGCCATATATGACGAAAGAGACGGAGCTCACGGCACAAAAGCTCACATGGGGCACATAAGTCGATCTCCAAACCAGAAGGACAGATCAACATCGCCACGGAGGGCACCGCTGTCTGCATCGTCTGCGAGCCTGCCTGTTTATCAGGGCCCCCTATAGGACAAAACCATAAGCAGCATAAGCAGTTTGTAGGGATATCCTAGCTTGGGCTCAGCTATAAGGGTATCTGTACTTATTGGGCCTTAGTTTGGGACATGGTGTTCCAGGTAGGCCACGGTCTTTGACCAGCATTTCGGATCAAGGTTGGGGTTCGGAGGATTTTAGGGTTTAGGGCTATAGAGGGGTTTATGCAAGATGTCATCTGATGTCCCATGAGGACGAAGGCAAAATTTCTTTAAGAAAGAAGAGTAGTATCGAAGCGGTTGAAAACAGACTAGATCACCTCCTTCGCTACCTGTGGCGTCTGCAGTATACATTCTACACAACTGGTGGATCAAGAATAGGCCGAGGGCAACTACTAAGCACATTTGCTGGTCATAAGCCGGAGGCGAGTACGGCAGTTGA